TAGCCTGGCTCAGATTGTCCTCAGATAGGCACATGACTTCCCTCAGAGGTGTGCTAAGTCCTTTCCTCACCCCCACACAGCAGGAGGGCTGACTCTAAAAGACAGACAGTAACAAGTGTTGACAAGAAGGTGGGTGAATCGAAACCCCATACATTGCTGGTGGGAAGACAAAACGGTGCAGCTTCCTTGGCGCCACAGAATGGCATAGAGTTACTAAGTTGCCCACAGCTTCCACTCCTAGCTATATATCCAAGAGCCAAGAATGCATTTGCCTATATAATAAACCTTGTACATGAATATTCATAGCATCATTATCTATAACAGCCCAAGTATGTATCAGCTGAAGAAGGGATAAGCAAAGTATAGTATGCTCACACAATGGAATACTATTCAACCATAAAAAGAATGAAGGACTCAGGCTGGAGAAGGAATGAAGGGCTCAGCAGTTAGGGGTGCCACCTATTGCTCTGTAGAGGACCCAAGTTCAGTTCCCAGCTCCCGTGTCCAGGGACTCACAAACCATCTGTCACTTCAGCTTAGGGGAATCCAGTGTCTGACATCTATGGACACTTGCACATGTCTATGCACGAGTACACATACAAACCCACACACACTAAAGTACTAATACATTCTATAATTATTGATGAGCTTTGAAAATATGCTGAGTGGGAGAACAAATCAGAAAGAACCACATGGCATGTGGTTCCATTTGTTCTGTATAATTCAGAGAATGATCTATAATAGCCACACTTTGATTTTGAATGAGTGAGTTTATTAAATGGGTAGCAATCTAGTGTAAAATAATAAATAATAATATTTAGATGATAGAATAAAACCATCTAATCAGGTACTCAAGACATCCAGAAGAAATGCCCTGGGGAAGTCCCACAAAGGCAGACAGCCAGAGCTCCTAACAGAGTCCCAGTGAAGCAGTATCTCCTCTCATGGGGCTTCCAAGTAAAGACTGAATGGCAGCAGACAGAGGCGACATCACCAAGTTGAAGGCTTTCAAACATCTAGAAGAAACCAGTGGGGGAAGTTGAGGCAGTCTGCTAAAGCCCCCCAATGTGCTTTCTCCCCGTGGATGAATGCGGTTACCTGGCCACACTCTTCCCCACTGCAGGCATTTCGTATCGGGATAAACAGTAGTAACATCTGCTGGAAACGCTTGGCCTTCCAGCTATTCTCAAGGACGCGCTGTTTTTAGTCTTGGGCTATTTTGCTGTTCTGTCCCCTTACCCTCACCTATATTGCCACAGAATTGGGAGTTTGGCAGCCTGTCCCCAGACAAGGAGCCTTGGAGGACAAATACACTTGGATCTGAAAAGCAGAGACTGGGGGAGAGGACACACGCTCAGGGCCAGCTCCTCCGTGAGATCTAACATGACAGTTTTCCAGTGGAATACACTTTACACTGTTTATATGGAGTGTTCACAACGGGCAGTCTCATAGCCAGAGAGAAGATCAGTGTCTCCAGAAGGACTGCCAGTGAAGATGGGATCCAGTTACACTGACGTCAGGTAGAGATGCTGACCAGTTCCCAAAAGCCATCGGAGCCTATACTTCACAAGAGTGGATTTAGTGGTATCCAAATTATTTCTCAATTAAAAAGTATAAAAAAAAGTTCATTGTTTATCTAAAATGTAAACATGGCCGGAAATCCCATATTTTTGATCTACCAACTGTGCCAGCTCTATTCTTGCCATTTATTTCATGAACAAAGCTTTATTCAAGCACACACATAAAATAAGCATTTGCCTGAGAGACCAGGTGGTAGTGGAAATAAACCATCACAAGCATTTCTGCGGCCTGTCTGCCCCTCTGCTTTTGTGTTTTACACCTTTTGTAATTGACTTGGCGAGTTGCCAGCGTCACCACACCATACATTCTAATTTTAAACAAGTATGGTTCCTCGGAAAACAAAAATAGCATTGCCCCCACAAGCCGGAAATCAGGGTGGGAACCATACCCCCAAGGGTTGACTTACAGAACTGGGACTTGACTCCTCTTTGCCGCTGCTCCCCAGGCCCCTAACAGGTACAAAGGGCTCCTAAAAACAGCCCACTGAAACCCATCCTACTAATTTGCCAGTCAAAGAAAAAGCTCTAGAATTCTGCATTTTTAAACTTAAAAAAAATTAAATTATGAAAACACACTGTTATTCCTTTTGAAGATTTCTCTGTTTAACTTCTGGTGATAATAGGAGAGGAACACAGGCTCTTTGGGCTCAACTGCCTCAGGTAAAAAGATGCAGTAGCATCTTCTGGCTGTAATGAACACATTACGATAATCCTTTAGCAGGTTGCCATTCATACCAAAAAGGCATTTAATACACACTGTCACATCTTTTTCTTTTCTTAAAACTTGATTTTATTTATCCATTCTCTGATAATTTCATACAAAGTATCGGCTTTGTTTTCTTAGCCCTGCCCCCACTCACTCAGCCCTTTAGTGCTGCCTGAGTGGGCGTGGGTGTTTGGACCATCCAATAGACCATCCGTCACTCCATTCTTCCATTCCTCCAGAAGCCATCAAGTGCCAGAGCCAGAATCTCCTTCTAGGGGTGAGGCCACACCGCCACCCCCAGTCCACGGTGGGATTTCGGGTGGGCTGATCTTGTGACAGGTCTTGGACATGCATCCCCATCTGCTGTGAGTTCACCAACCTGTCCTGCTACAGCCATGACCCTCTCTGGCTCTCTTGCTCTTTCTACCCTCTTCTCTTATGGTTTCTGAGCCTGTGTGAGGGAGCATGATGTCGCTGTCTTAGAGCTAAGCATCCCACACTGTCATTCTCTGCGTGTTGAGTTGTTATGGGTCTCCATATGAATCATCTACTGAAAAAGGAAACTTCTCTGATGACGGTTGAGAGATGTAGTAATCCATAAGAGTTTAGGGACAGTTTATTATTACGTCCACTAAGCAGGATGATGATACTAGATTTTCCTGTGTCCTAGCCAGCTACAAGTTTTGGCTCAGTTATTGATACCAGACATAGGTTCCATCCTGTAGAGAGGGTTAAAGGCCACCTCCTAGGCTCTGCCTTCTAAAGGTTCCATTTTCCAAATGCACACCTAGGTGTGAACAAACCGTTATCGCATGGGCTCTGGGGGACAGTCATCATCTAAACATTAGCATTTATTTTCTCAGCAAAACTGAGAAATGGAAAAAAAAAAAACTGGAGCAAAAACTGCAGAACGTTCTCATGTTCCCACCCATACTGTGTGATGACTAATCTCTGTCGTCAACTTGAAGGGATTTAGAGGAACTTTGAAGACAAACCTCTTGGTGTTTATGTTCAGGTGTGTCCTGAGAGTCTGAGGAGGGAAAACCTACCCTTAGCTGTGTCTCCTCTGCCATAACGGACCATATCCTCACTCCATGAGCCAGAATAAACCTTTCCTTTTCTAAGTTGCTTTTGCCAGATGTTTGGTCACAGCAAAACCGAAAACAAGAACAAGCCAGTATACCCACTGCCAGCTTCCTGTGCCAGTGTGGATTTGCTACAATCAGTGAAGCTATGCTGGCATCACTGTGACCCCATGTCTGCAGTGTACCCAGATTCACTCCTAGAGTTGTACATTCTGTGGCAGGGACTTACTGCTACTGCAGAATCATCCAGAGTACTGTCATTACCTAAAGATTCCCTGCTCCCTGCCTCATCACCCTCATCCCCTCCCTCACAGCATAGTCACTGATATTCTTAGGATGTCTCTGTAGTTCTCTACAAAATTGCATCTTATAGACTATTGGACGGTTAGAATCATACAGTCTATGGCTTTTTCCAGATTGGCCCTGTGTCTTTCATGGTTTGCTCCTCAGTTACTTTCATTCTAGTTGTACCTAAAGTTTATCCACTCCCCTATGAGGGATCTCTTAGTTGCTTCCACGTCTTGATAATTATAAATGGAACCATGTTAATGGCTAATTTATATGTTTGTTTCAGTTTTCCTCTTAACCCAGCTAGCTCCCAAATAATTGAGATTGAACTATTATATTTATTTAACAAGCTTTAAGGGCACAACAACTGAGCAGTATTACTCTATTTTAATCCTCTCAGCTAATCTAGCTACCTCCCAGTCAAAATCCCAGCGATACTTGGATTTTAGTACCTGCATTTAGATCTAGCTCTCTGGGCTCCAACTGTTTCCTCATGGAGTCTCCTGGACTCTCTCCCTGTGGCAAATCCCCATCTTCTCTCTCACTCTGTCTGCTCTCCCCTGGCTGGGAGGAATTCAAGGCCTGTTTTCTCCCCTGCTCAGTCATTGGGTGATCAGCTTCTTTATTGACCAATCAGGGAATAAATGGGGAGCAAGGTTTTGCAGCCAGATATGAGGACATAGAAATCAGCAATAAATCTTTACCCAGTGTACAATAACACTATGCCTACAGAACTTCAATAAATAACCACATCCAAGTTTTTGTGTGGATAGTTTTCTATTCATTTGGGTAGGTACTGGGAAGAAAACTAAAAAAAAGTGTGTTCAGCAAAGCTGTTTTTTCAAACTAGCTACATTTTCACCAGCAGCAGATGATGGTTCCTGGTGGTCCACATCCTTGGAGCATTTGTGTTATTGTTGTTCGGGATTTTGGCTATCCTAATAGGTGTGTCATGGTATTTTGTCATTTCCACTAGCAATTCTTCAATGACATATGATGTTGACTGTTCTGTTTTAGGCTTGTCTGCTGGCTGCTGTGATTCAAATATTTATGCCTTGTTGAAATTTCCTCCTAATGCAACAGTAGTGGGGCTGGGATTTGGCTTTGGGAAATGACTGGGTCATGAAGGTTGGGCTTTTGTACATGGGATTAGGAACACTTGTAAGAGGGCTTGTAGAGGGAATCTACCCATTCTTGTCTTCCATAAGTGTTTATTGCACCCTGGAGTCAGATATTGAATCCTCACCAGATTATAAACCTGCCATTGCCTTGGTCCTTGGCTTTCCCGGCCTTAAAGCTCTGAGGAATACTTTTTGGGTTTTGTTTTGTTTTGTTTCACTTAAATATATGGAACTGCTTCACAGATTCACATGTCACCCTTGTATGGGGCCAGACTAATCTTCACTGAATTGTTCCAATTTTTAGTATATAGTGCTGCTTTAGTGAGCACAATTTCATGTTTTTAAAGAGTCCACTCTATGGTATTTTGTTATACAGAACAGAATGGGCTGAGCTATGTCAACTGTATACCCTTTCCACTGATATGTCCTGAACACCATCAAATGTTAGGTATTCTGTGTTTCACCCATTTAAGGAAAGTGTGTGTGTGTGTGTGTGTGTGTGTGTGTGCGCGTGTGTGTGTGTGTGTCCCACTGTGATGTCCAGTCTGTCCTGAGCTCAAGCAAATTTTCTTTCTCTACCTTCTACACAGAAGACTAGAAAGAAGGCTGCTCGCCATGCCAGACCTTTTTAGTTGTGTTGTGTGTTCTTATTGTTGAGTCATAAGCATTCTAGTATACTTTTTAGGACAATCCTTTCTCACATGAGCCTTTTGGAAGCATTTTCCCATTGTCTTTTCATTTTGATTAAGACAGTCTATCACATAAAAAAACCACAGGCCTTTCGTTCATGATTCTCCTGCCCATGTATTAAAACCACAGACGTGTAGCACCATACCTAGCTAAAAGTTTTAAATTTTAAGAAGACCCAGCTCATCAGTTATTTCTTAACTAGATGTGGCTTTGCTCTTGTATTTTACAGTCTGACCACCATACCTGTTTCTCTCTACGTTACTTCTATGCTATCTTAACCTAGGGACTTTATAGTTATGCATTTTACATTTTAAGTCTATAATTTTAGTTCATTTTGTGAATGGTGTAAGATCTGTGTCTCCATCATTTTTAATGTCTGGATGTACAGTTGTTCTAGCAGTTACTGGAAGGAGTATCTTTGTGTCATCTTAATGCCTTTTGCTCCTTGACAAAGGTCTGTTGATATTTTTGTGGAACTAGTTCTAGGATTCTGTATTTCAATCTATTGATCTATCTTTCACCCCCCCCCCATACTCAGATGTCACACTGTCTGATTATTCTGTGTAACAAATCAGTCTCTCTCTCTTCCTCCTCCCTCCCTCCCACCTCTTATTTGTGGAATGGGGTGAACATTGAACCCAGAGCTTCCTGAATTCTAAGCCAACACCCTGCTATTACTGAACTGTACCCCCAGCCTCTAGTAATTCTTAAAGATGCCAAGAGTCTTTTTGTGGCTCTCAATGCCAGTATCCATTTAGTATCTGTAAAATAACTTGCTGGCATCTTGATTGGGCTGACGAGTCGCAGGGAACTGCCATCTTGACAGTATTGACTCTTCTTGTCTATGCATATGGAATATATCTCTGCTGTACTTTGGATATGTCTCATCTTGTGATATAAGAAGTGGTAGAATCTTCTAGGAGGCGGGACCTAGTGAAAGGTGACCTGGTGATTGGAGGCGCTGCCATCAGAAAGATTGATGCCGCACAAGGTGACTGACACCATCCGCTGTGTGAGCAGGCACTGGAGCTCTCCTCAGAACTAAGCAGGCTCTGGCGCTGTTTCAGCAGTAGAGCCAGGGCTGTGTCTCCTCACCATTCCTTCCCAGAGCGTTATGGCTCTTCTGCTCACCTGTCCAGTTTAGACCTGCACACTGCCAGCGCTTCCTCGGTTTGGAAGTCTATTTCTGATTTACTACAAGACTACAATGCGATCTGTGAGCAAAGGAACTTTATCTAATCCTTCCTAACTTAATACTTATTTCCTTCTCTTGTCTTACTGCATTAGATAGGGCTTTCAGCATGGTGCTGAAAAAAAAAGGAAATAGTAAAATTTCCAGTTTCTTGCCATTAATTGCTATGTTGCCAGGGTTTCTGTAACTGTCCTTTACAAAGCTGAGGAAGTCCCCTCTGGTCACAGCTGAGTGACAGAACTTTTTTCTGTTACATGAATGAATGCATTAGGTTTTGTCAAACACTTTTTCTTACTGATATGAGAATATGATTTCTTCTGATTAGATGTGATGGATTACGTTAATTGATCTTCAGATAGTGGACTGCCTTATATACCCTAGGATGTCTTTCACTTGGTTGTGATGTATAATTCTTTTTTTATACTGTTGGGCTATATTTGATAATATTTTATTAGTGAATTTTCCATTTGTCTTCATTAGGGGTATTACTGATACTCCCGCTGCTCCTGTCTCTGAAGGAGATTTTAAAGAGCTTATATAATTTCTTCTATAAACATTTGACAGAGTTCACCAGTGAGCCCCGCAAGCCTGGAGCTTCCTGTTTTCACGTGCTGATTCTGTTGCTTCAGTTCTTCTGTCTTCATATTGTCTGCTTCTTGATGCACTTTAATCTAGGTTATGCATGTCAGTGAGCAGTGACTCCATAATTTTTCTGTTTCTTAATACCATTGCATGCGTGGTGGTGTTTTTTGTTCTTTTCTAATATTGGTGATGTTTTCTCTTCTTAGTTATCCTGGGCAACAGTTACTAGTAATCTTGAACCCTTTCAAAGAATGAGCTTTTGGTTCTGTTGACTTTCTCTACTGATTTCCTGTTTTCTTTGTCACAGATTTTCTGATCTAATTGCCATTATTTTTTTTTGTATGCTCTTTATTTAATTTCCTTCTCCGGTTTTCTAAGATGGATGCCTAAATGACTGTTTAGCTCTTTCTTCTTGTCTATTCTTCCTTCCTTCTTTCCTTCTATCCATCTTCCTTCCTCCCTCCCTCCTCCCTCCCTCCCTCCCTTCCTTCTTTTCCTTATGACAGGATCTCTTTACAGATTCCAGGCTGGCTTTGATTTCCAAGTGCTGATATTATAGCCTGGCTATGGATGAAAAATTCACTGTGTGCATAGTGTAGTGTACTCTAGAGTAGGTGCATTTGTGTGCAGGTGCATGTGTCCAGTGTGGGCCAGAGGTCAGTGTTGAGCATCTTCCTCAGGCTTTCTCTACCATGGTTTTGGAGACAGAGTCTCTTACTGAGCCTGGAGCTCACTGACTGGCTTGGCTGGCTGGCCAGTGAGCCTCCGGGATCCAGCTGCCTTTGTCCCCACAGCGCAGGTTATAGATGTACGCTGCCCCACTTTTCCACATGGGTGTTGGGACCCATGCTCAGGGCGTCATGCTCACAGGTAGGCACCTTACCAACGGAGCCGCCTCACCAGCCCTCATCTTTCTTCTCTTCTAATTCTGTAAATTTCCCTCTCTTGCCTTTGTTTCATCTACACATTTTGATAAGTTACATTTTTTATTTTCATGTAGTCTTAAAATCATCCTGCTATTTCTTCTTTGGCTCATGTACTATTTGAAAGTGTGTTACTGAATATCTCAAAGATTTTGCAACTTCCACCTCCTTTTGTTATTGATTTATTCTATCCCCCTCCCTTTCTCTCTCTCCCTGATGGGGCATGGAACCCATGGTCTCCTGCGTGCTAGGTACGCATCCTCCCAGACAAACTACAGCACCATTGTGATGGTTAGTCTTCGTCAACTCGACACAAACATAGACATCCCTGGGAAGAGAGTCTCTCAGATGAGAAATCGCCTCCATCACACTGGCCTGTGGGTATGTCTGTGAGACATTTTTTTTTGATCAATGGTTGATATGAGAGGGCCCAGCCCATTGTGGATGGTGCCACTCCTTGGCAAGTAGTCCTTGGTTATGTTAAAAAGGCAGGCTAAGCAATGCATGGAGAGAAAGCCAGTAAGCATATACTTTCATGGTCCCCGCTTCAGTTCCTGCCTCCATGTTCCTGCCCTGACTTCCTTCAGTGGTGATGGGCAGTGATGTAGAAGTGTAAGCAAAATAAATCCTTTCCTTCCCAGGTTGGTTTTGGTTTGTGTTCTAACACAGCAACAGAAAATCTAAAACACACCTTATTATTAATGTCAGAGACAAGGAGACTCGAGTTCCCCAGACTCCAAAAGGTAGTTTAAATATTCAAAAATGGACACGACCCAGCCTATAGGAGGACTTCTGGTCATTAGATAAAAGCCACCATCCCTCAGGAACTTATGAAACTCGTTCCTCTCTACTGAAAAGAGTCATTGGAAGAAGGGACAAATTGCTATCAGCCATGCCTGGTAGCATTCTAAAGCACAAGCTGGCCCCCAGGATCCCAAGTATCACAAGTACCAGTCACACCTTTCAAAGCCTGTGCTAGCTTCCCTACACTCCCTCCAGCTCACAGGCTCCCCTCCCGCAGCTACTCATTCTCCTCATAACCCTGACATTTTCAACACCATCTCTCTGTCTCGTTCCCTCCCTCTCTCCTTGCCTTATCTCCCTCCCTCTCTTGTTTCTCTCTTTTATCTGTTCTCTCTCTCCTGCTGTTCTCCTCTCTCTCACAGATAGCCCTGACCATGTCCAGTCTGATGGCCATGTTCTATTCAGTCTTCTCTCTCTCTCTCTCTCTCTCTCTCTCTCTCTGCTACAGACTCTGCCAGATGCCAGATGCCTCTGGATGTTCTTGCTGTCATATCAATAAAACCCTTCCCCTTAACCACACCACGGAACAGTGATGTCAATTTAAACAATTAAATTCTAGTTTCATTCCACTCTCAGAGCAGATATTATGTGACTTTTATTCTTTTGAATTTGTTAAGATATGTTTTGTGGCCCAGAACGTAGTCTGTCTTGGTGAATACCCCTCCCACCCCACTTTGTTTGTTTAATGAAACAAGCCACGGCTGCCAATCTTTTCCAGCCGATTGATGTCGGGTTCTGCTGAGCTCTTGCTGGTGTCCTTCCCTTCTAGACTCCTCCATCTGTCCTAGAGGGTTATCGAAGTCTCCGGAACCGTGGTTTTGTTTGCATTCCGTCCTGTCAGTTTCACGTGGGCACTGTTACACTGGTGTGAGGCACACACCATCAAACCTTCCCTTTCTTGCTTGAGTAGTGCCCCTCAAGAGCAAGGCCCCCTTAGCCTTGATAACTTTTGTTGCTTCTGAATTTGCTCTGTGTGAACTTGGCTAGCTATCTCTTCTATCTATTGATGAGTTATCTGTATGCTGTATCTTCCTTGCCCCTTTAATCTATTTTGCCTTTATATTTGAAGTGGGGTTCTTGTCAATAACATATATTGGGTTTTGGTTTATAATCTACTCTGATCTTTCAAGTGGTGAAT